CTGACTAGAGAGCAGGATTGGGTGGCAAATTACTACTGATTTAATATAGGAAGTTTGTTCAGTACTTCTGTAGTGAGAACTGGGCTGAAAGTTTGTGTGATAACAGGTTTATATGTTTAATACACTATCCACAAGCATAATAACTGCAGGAGGAATTGAGAGGAACTCTTTCACTCAGGACGGGTTTAATTTAAAAACATCTTTTACGTGAAAAAGTCTTTAATTTTATTCCTGCTTAGCCAACAATCTGTGGTATCAGTAACATGATAAAAAAACTCTCAGTTTTATATCATAATTAGTTAGACAGTTCTATGAAATTTTACAAATTGATGGATTCACTGAATTTTAAGCCTTTCTATAAGAACACAACAGCTGAGAATAGTTTGTGTGTGTCTTAACATTCTTATTCTTATCTAGAGGGTGATGCTTCAAGCTCACTTTTAGTAGTACCCTTATACCTCACTGACCACAATATGAAGACAGGTCTGAGACCACTGTGAATGAAATTTACAAAATCTTTATCAGATTTCTGAATTGATGCTTAGTTGTACTATAACTGTAGCACAAAAATATTCATATTCTTTGTCTTTTTTTAGTATAATAGGAAATTTAATCCCTGGCTCCTGCTAGGGAGTTAAAACGATTTAAAAACCGCTTTCTATAATATGCTATTCTGACACTCATCTAAGATACTTGTAAGAGATGGCAACAAGTCAGCTGTGTTGACAGCAATAAACTGAATAGATTACTTCTTTGGTAGGCTGCTAGAGATTACTTAGTGATCAGAGCAAAAATCTGCACTCAGCATGAATAAATTAAATGCTGCTTATCAAGGACTAATTCATAGCCTTCCTTATAAAGTGCACATATATTTAAACATTCATGCAATGCACTAATTTCCAGCCCGCGTACAATGATATTATCATTATTATCCAGGATAGATCTGCTAACTACAGCTCCTGTAGAATTTCCCAGAATAAAATGTGAACTCATACTTTAGTCAGCCAGTTAACTAAATGAGTCAATGTGACAAATTCACAACCTGAGTTAAGATAAATGCTGATGAAATCCTGGCTCTCCTGATGCCAAAGGGAACTTTGCCATTGACAATTTTAAACATCTTGGATGGCAATTAACATTAAACTATGCCTAGCAAATTGAATAATGATGCCCAACAATAAAATTCTACGGAATATATTTTAAATAGGCATGTCTGAAGTTTGCAGATGCGGTAATCACTAACACTTCAAAAATGAGAATATATGGTCAGTCATATTCAACGTGGTCTGGAGGGGAAATCATTGCAATTGCTTCTGACTCTTACACCTGTGGAAATACCTTATTGCTATCTTAGGAAATGTCTTTCAATACTGAACACAATTCCAATGGATACTGTAAAATGACAGTTGAAATGCTGGATTAGCAGTGATGAAACTACTCGTTTGGTATCTAGAAACCTGCACAGTCGATGAGATCATCTACATGAAAAGTATGCACAAGTTTAAGTTAAACTGGTATGTTTTTTAAACTGGGGCAAATCTTTATGTAGACAAGACCTCAAGACTTCCTTCTCTGGCATACTAATCTGCATGCACGCGCACGCACGCACACACACACAGGAATTCCCTTTTACCATTTGCTAAGTTATGTTCACAAAATGATCTATTAGGAACTGTAAAGCCAGGGAAAATGCTGATCTCACAATCAGTTGTTTGGTCAAAGTTGGTATGTCCATACAGTTCTCCACAGTAAAATAAGGTACACATGTTAAGAGTTTTTGATTATTCTTCTTCAAAAGAGACTTTTGAGGAGAATGTCTAATAAGCTATTGAAAATCATATGGCACTTTCAATAAATACTTTAAAGCTTCTTAAATAAATCAGTTTTTTTAAAGCAACTGCTGTAACAAGCTTGTTTTATCAATTACACAATTCTGTAGGAAAAAATCCAGAAACAGCACAAAGATCATAGTAGTTAAAAGACAGTACAGCTTTTACTTTTCATAACAATCTGGACAGGCTCCCATTTCAAGAATAAGCCAAAAAAACCTAAGGTTTATTCAATCTTAATTCTTATCTAGAATTCTACCCCCCAAAGCTTATATCGCTCCTTTTCAAAACACTAAAATCACATGTATATAAATTTCAGTGCAGAAATGTATTCACAGAGCAAAAGAAAGCCCCCAGTCCTGGAAACACTTATGCACATGCTTAACTTTAAGTATGTGAATATTGTCACTGACCTTAACAGAACTACTTGCATGGTTAACTTTAAGCACTACAGTGTTCGTAGCATTGGGGCCAAAGATGTTAACTATCAATGGGCCAGAATTTTATTATTTTGCTTGTGTGTTTGTCCAAGTTTTCTGAACAGGATCACATTAAAAATCAGAAACTTCCACATACACAAATACACTTACATGTGTGCACATATTAATATGTGAATATACATTCAGTAACTTGAAAGAAGTATTTAAGATTTTATTTAGACAGACAAGTGAAGGCAACTACCTTATTGTCTCTACAATATCAAGGACTCTGTCCATTTGGGGACTCTAGGTTTTTAAAGCCATGCTTCTGAGAAAAATATTTGCAATCTATTTTTTGAGTTGGTAATTTTGTTTGCTTAATATTTTTACACCTAGACTAAGGTTCCCCTGTTGACATTTTGTCAGTGACAAAAAAAATTCCTAATTTATTTATATAATATATACTTTTACATCATAAAAGGTCATTTGTTTAGGGGTATGTTTTGGTATAAAAGCAAATAAAAGTTTAAAATTTCTGGCAATCAAATGAGGAAAGATAACTTTCAGGCTAGCAAAATATTGATTCTTGTACTAATATTATATTCTGAGAAAAACATAATAAAAAGATGTACTGTCCTTTCACTGAAATAGATCAAATACAAAATGGAAACAGCCTTCACAAACAAGAGTGAATAATGCCCAGATACCTTATATAGGCAGTTATTCTACAACTGTATACAGTTATTTACAATGATGCTTTATAAAACAAAAACAAAAAAATGGTAGCACTTCCTAAAAGATTTTGGAACTTTTTTTCTTCTTTTTTTTTTTTCTTTTTTTAAAACTCCCTTGTCATAAAAGCCAACTTACATTAAAATAGACTTACTACAAGACAACACAACTAACAAAATATATAATAAAACTCATACAAGTAGAAAATTCTGAGGTATTTCTGGTTTGAGGTGGTCTGTGGTCATGAAGATTTTAATTTTTTTTTCAGTTTAAACCTCGGAAGCCATGTAACGTGTTTTGTGTGTGTGTTTTGTTTTTTTAAACATTGCATGTTTTGCAAATTAAAAAAATATTTAAATGTTGAATCAGCAGCATTAGGAACATTCACTGACTAGAGCAAGTGTATGGCATACTAGAGTAATGGTATTTTAGAATATGCACCACTTTAAGACAAAAGAGTTTAACCACAGATAAGGAGAAAGCTAAGTCAAACTGGTTTAACAAATTCTATGATTAACTTTAATGCTGCTCTATTACCTCCCTATATTCTGCAAATGTACAATTCAAATGTTTCTTGGGTGCAACTGTCTGCCATTGGTCCAGGTAATTTTTTCCTCTCCAGTTAATAAAGGCCTTTTAGAGCGCCAGAATCAGACTTTTCTTCTTTTAAAAGATCTACACTGATAACTTGGGCTAAGCAGTTATCCAGCCCAGAGGACTTATTCCCTGAACTGCTAGGCTACGTCTAGACTGGCCCCTTCTCCGGAAGAGGCATGCAAAGCAGGCAAGTCAGAATAGGGAAATCCGCGGGGGATTTAAATATCCCCCGTGGGATTTAAATAAACACGGCCGCCGCTTTTTTCCCGGCTTGGGGAAAAGCCGGAAAAGAGCGTCTAGACTGGCGCGATCCTCCGGAATAAAGCCTTTTTCCGGAGGATCTCTTATTCCTACTTCCAAGTACTTCATATTTGTAAGTAGGAATAAGAGATCCTCCGGAAAAAGGCTTTATTCTGGAGGATCGCGCCAGTCTAGACGCTCTTTTCCGGCTTTTCCCCAAGCCGGGAAAAAAGCGGCGGCCGTGTTTATTTAAATCCCACGGGGGATATTTAAATCCCCCGCGGATTTCCCTATTCTGACTTGCCTGCTTTGCATGCCTCTTCCGGAGAAGGGGCCAGTCTAGACGTAGCCCTACTGTATTTGAAAGCAAGATATAAATGCTTTCAAATCTTCCAATACTTTACAGAGTGCTTCAGAGCATATGCTATTACTTCTCTCAATTACACAGCTTAAAAGCATTTTTTCCCAATTCTTAACTGGAGAATTAAACGTATATATACACACACACACACACACACACACGCACCCCCTATGGTTTGGTTTTGTTCTGTTCTTTTAACACTTAAGCCTGAGATATTGGGGGAAGTAAGAACTGGTACCTTGCTTATCCCATTGGCTCTTTGACTGAACTTTCTCCATATGCTGTGGTGATTAATACTCTGCCTCAAAAAAGTTCTTCCCCTCATTAACTGGTTACCTGAGAAGTAGCTCCATAGCAAATGATGTTTCTCCAAATGCTGCGAAGTCCAACGTCACTCTCCCCCCATTCCCTATACTAACCACCCTCCTTCAATTTTACCACCAAAGAGTTAACATTTTCTTCCCAGTTTCTTGTGTTTTTTTTCCCATTACAATGACACCCGTTAGATCCGTAAAAGACACATCTGCTGTTTGTTTCGTTTTGAAGCTTACTGTCTAAAAAAGAAAACAGGGGAAAATAATCCTTTTGAGGAAGGTGTAATCTTATGTAACAGTCTTAAGTTTCCTCCAAAGTTTGCAGCATTGCGTTTTCTAAGATGGTTGGTGGTTTTCCTTTATGTCAGAGATGCTCTGTGTTGAAGACAGACCAATAAAGAGAAACCCAGAAAACTGAATAAAAAACAACTGAAGTGAGTTTGTTGAGGTTCTGAGGTACCTGCACCTTTTCTGCATTCATTAGTCGGCACCTGAATGCTTGCTGAGATGTCTTTTTTTTTTTTTTAATACAGTAGAGCAATGTGCTGGTAAAATTGATCCAATCAAAAAAAAAACAAAACAAAACAAAACAACAACAACAATAATAATAATAATAATAAAAAGTCAAGATAAAATAGCAGCTGCATTCATGTGTTTGTTGGGTTTTTAAACTTTTTTTTAAATCCACTGAGTCTGGAAAGACAAAAATGAATCAGGACTTAGATACTAGACTCTTTGGGTGGCAAGTCCACGTTGGTGACAGATGTCACGATGGAAACGAGGCAGTCCGAGGTAGTGCCGTTTACCGATTTGCGGATCTGAGAAATGCGCTCCTCGACACAGCCTGCTGAAAGCCGAGCCTCTGCATCGTGATCCCAGCATTCTTCAATTGTAACACAGAGCTGTGCCAAACCCTGTGGAAACAGGAGGAAACACACACTTAGCATGTGGATTCTCATGGAAATCTTGTTTTTAGAAGTGAGAACGAGGCATGTGGAGCAACACACAGAGCCTGGCAGTGGACATAGGAGAATCTGAGTACAGGCAGTCCCCGGGTTACATGGATCCGACTTACATCGGATCCCTACTTACAAACGGGGTGAGGCAACCCCGCACTAGCTGCTTTCCCCCAGCAGACCAGGGAGACGCGGAGTGGCTTTTCTCAGCAGACACCTCAGCTTGAGAATAAAGGACTGAGGGAAGTGAGGTGTGGGAGAATAAAACTGAGCTCTGGAGAAATGTTTGGCTAGAGTTTCCCCTACAATATGTACCAGTTCCGACTTACATACAAATTCAACTTAAGAACAAACCTACAGTCCCTATCTTGTACGTAACCCGGGGACTGCCTGTATATTTCCTCAATAGAAGATCCTATGGACTTGTCTACTAGAACAGTTAGTTTGTGGCAAGACATAGTGTAAATGTACCCATCACTAGCCTGCTGTGGACACTGCTGCTACATGCTGCAAGTTTCCTAGTGTGCTTTGATCTATCCTGCTTTGAAATGGGAGCTGATCACAGCATACTAGAAAACTCCTCATGCACAGCAGCAGGGTCCATGCAGACACTCTGTACAAAGCAGGCTAGTATGAGTTACATTTACTCCAAGACCTTCTATAGTATCTAGCTCACATTCTACAGTGAGTATTGCCAACCTCACATTCTCAAAAACCTGAGATAATCTCACGACATTTTGAGGCCAACTTTAAACAGTGTGTGGTTTTTTTTTTTAAGAATACACTTAAGTTCTTTGATTTATGGGCCTTCAGGATGCATTCAAATCAAGCTTTTACCCACAAACATGAAGGCTATAAACTTTTTTTTTTTAAACGAAGAAGAGATTCTCAACTAATCTTTAGATTCTGGGAGCAGGAAGTTTAAGGAATAAAACCCCAAATATTGCAAGATTTACGAGTCAATAACATTGTTACAAGTACCATAAAATTCTTCTTCCTAAAGAAATACTGCTTCATTATCTTACTCATCCTGTAAAATTGCTGGATTAAAGATAGCACCTTCCATACAGCTGAATGCAGGTTATTAATACTCTGAATTGTATCCAGTTTTGAATAATCAGGTTTCATCCACATATTATGTCCCTGATTTTGGGGAAACATACAGAATTTAAATTGTCTGAAATAATGGTAACTGTATGGCTGAAGATAGGGGTATTTAGCTGCTTAGTACATGGGGCTTGAGCTTGAAGTCATCATGTTTAAGTCAGCAGAGGTAAGGCATCTAACATTTAAGTGGCCCGTATGCAATGACCTGGAGAGCTCAGTTCAAAGAGTGGAAAGACTCCCAAAGCACAAAAGCCAGTTGTGGCAATTGGCATTTCTTCAGAGAGAAAGAGGACTGAATTGACCTGGAGACTGCTGTGCTCTCCTGAACAGGGCTGAGACACGTTGGCTAGTGAAATGAGGGGAAATCTTGCTCTGACACTGCAAATGCTTGGGCCTCTTCTATGGATAAACAGAATGCTTCATTTTCTGATGTCAATCTAGACCATTTCACAAGCACTAAGCCTCCAAAAAAAAAAAAAAAATCTAATAGCCTGACTGGGAATCCTTGTCATGGCATTAATGCACAAAATGTTATAAAATATTCCATTTCTGGCTATGCCGGTGAAGGGTGAAACTGCTTAAAAATCAGATCAGTTGATTAAAACCACAGTAAAAATAGGACAAACTATCCAACAGAATGGGCACTGCGTAAGTGTTGATTCCCAATGTTTCCACTGGCCTCCTGCCTGACCCAGGGCATATCACTCAGTTTCCTCAGCAATGGGGATATGTTACTGACCTCCTTTCAAAAGTTCTTTGAGCTCTGCTAATGAAAAATGGTATATAGGAGCTGCATACTCTTATTTTTAGCTATGGATTTTTCTTCTGAAGCAATTTTCCACACCATATCAATGAAGGGGAAGGGAAGCAGTAGTCAGGGAGAGAGAAAAGGACAGGGCCTGTTTTCAGACATGCTCAGTGCTTGTAGTTGTGGGTGCTCAGCTCCATGAGGCCCAGGAGACTAAATAAATAAGTTCATATGTAGTTTAGTTTATGCCTCAAGACAGTTCCATTCTGCCAAACCGTTACAAGATAATTTCCCTGATGTAACTGGCTTGAAGTTAACATCTAATGCTCAACCGTGTTGCTAATTCTAGCAATCAGAGGAAACATTTTAAGCTGTTAATGAGATGGGACATACAGGGTGTTTCAGCCAGTGATCCTTGAAAGCAGGTCGTATCTTTTTGTGCACCACCACTTCCTGCAGGTCCTCCAGGGATGGATGCTGACCTATCTCCTCTTCAAAAGGCAGCATATACTCATCCACTGGACCTGAAGTACATGGAGAAAGCTATGTTAATACAGAGAAGGACTCCATTAGGTAGATGGATTTCTTTACTTAGGCTGAACTGCAATTCAATAGCAAAAAAACAAAGCAAAGCATGGCACACTACATGTTTCATGTCATTTTATACCAACCTGATTTACATTCCCCCTTCAAAAAAAAACCAGTATACCATCACTGCTATTTATTGATTCATGCATTTGCTACTGATGTTTGCTTGAACCCCAAATCTTCCACAATTCTCCAATTTATGCCATTTTCCTAGTGGAAAATTAGTGGGGTATTTTGTAAAAAAACTAAGCAAGTTAACTCCAAATCTCAGTTGGTTTGATGCATTACCCCAATGTTACATTCAATGTTCTGGCAATAAATATCAATATGGCAGACATGACTTGCAGGGTCAAACACCAATAAAATATTTCTCACTTGTTCTTTCATGATCTAGTCTGATCAGAGACTCATGGAAATAACAGCCATTTGTTTTTAGTTACTACACTATATTGGTGATCCTGAGAATCGACACTTTCCTTAAAGAAGCCAGATCTGATTAAGTGACAGACGGTCTACTACAGGTGTGGCCAACCAGTTAGAGACTAAGAGCCAAAATAGCTGTAGATAGTAGTGCAAAGGCACCTCCAGCCTCGCTCTAACCCAATTCACACACCCCTCTCCCAGAGCCAGGCATTCACAGGATTTATTTTTTATATCTATAGATCTATAAGGCATGTATTATATATTTATATTTATATATCTATAACCTTAAGGCACCTCCAGCCTCCCTGCTCTTAACCCAATGCCCTCCTCCTCTCCCAGAGCCAGGCACCACAGCTTCCCCGCTCTAACCCAATGCACCCACCCTTCCCCCAGCCAGGCACTCACAGCCCCCCTGCTCTAACCCAATCTCCCTCCCCTCCCCCAAAGCTAGGCAGCCCCAGATTCTTTTAACAACACCCTGGGTCTCACCGGAGCTGCCACAGCCACACGCTTTTTCCTCCAGGCAATGGGGCGTGTGTGCAGAGTGGCTGTGAACTGTCCAGGCGTGCAGCTCCGAAAGACAATCAAACGTTCCCTTGAAGGCAGGTGCCGCCGCCCCCTCCCCGAATCCTGGACATTTTTTGTGTTTTAAAAAAGCCAGCCGGACTGCAATTTAACATGCGAAAATGAGGACATGTCATGGAAAAACCGGGCTGAGGGTAACCCTACAGAGCCTCATTTCTATGAGCAAAGAGCCGCAGGTTGGCCACACCTGGTCTACAAGGCATTATCAATGTAAGTAAATCTAGCACAGTTGTGCTATTGACAGTAATATCCATAGAACAACGTACAGTTCAGGAACTTAGGGTATGTCTACAGTAGCTCGTTAATTCGAGCTAGGTAGGCAAATGAGGCGACCGCAGTTGCAAATGAAGCCCGGGATTTAAATATCCTGGGCTTTATTTGCATGTTCCCGTCCTGTCACCATTTTGAAATTTCACTAGCCCGAACTCACTGCCGCACGGCTACACACGGCAGTGACACGTTAATTCAAACTAAGTCCTTAGTTTGAATTAACTGTTACTTCTCGTGGAACTCCGTTTAATACTTAATTCGAACTAAGGGGTTTATCTCGGAATCCTGCTTCTCTGCCACATGTAGACGCGAGCAGTTACATAAGGCTAGTCAGTTTCTAAAATGGCAACTGGCCAGGAATGTGCTAATCAAGAGCAACTTACACTTTATATAAGTATATGATGGGATTTTTGAGCCACTTTAGGAAATAGGGGCTGAAAAAACTTGATCTCGGTCAGTTCTACTTTGGAAAGTGGTCAACTGTAATAGGACAGCAACTTTAAGAAAACCAATTCAGAGTTAAAGAGCTAATTACACTGTAGAAGAGTACAGAAGCTTTTGTTTTGACCCTTCACTTACAATTAAGTCTCAGTTCACACTGGGAGCTGGACCATGTCAAGCACAAATGCATTCTGAAACAAAGTCATTCATGGGGAAAGGGGCTTGAAAACAGCAAAGAAAATAGTTTTCCAATAGGAATAGAGAGATTTTCTTTTCCAGGGAGGATTTCTGTTTTAATTGTGCTATAAATTATCCCTAGCTAGCAGGTACAGAATGATTTCTGAACCTTTCAGACAAGTACAGATGTGACCTGTCCTGAACTGCAACAGCACATGAAAACTTATCTAAACAGCAGTGTGGTCTACAATTGTGGCAACAAGTTTGGTTTATTAAAACATCATTTGACATTTCATAATTGTTAAGAGTGTCTCTAAGCAACAGCCTGCCAACTGAAGTGAAGAATTTTTTTAATGGTACTTCTGCATGGTCTCTCTGGACCAAGTGGTGGCCTCTTTCAAACCTGACACAATTACACATGGGTACCTCCAAATGGAAGGAAAAAAGAAAATAGCTGGATAATTTATTCTGCTCATGAACAGTAAGCCATCAATACACATTACACCTCTAAAATCCGGGTTTCTTTGGTCTGGCAACATCCGTGGCCTGGCATGACAACAGATGTTCCAGGACCAGAGAGTGCTGGTGGAGGTCCAGGAGCCAGTGTGCAGCTCAGTGGGGCTGCGGGGGGGGAGAGGAGCTGGCACCTGGCTCATCTTTGGCTGCGGGAGAGCGCCAGGAGCAGGTGCACAGCTCAGCTGGGCTGCCGGGAAAGCCAGGAAGCGGGGA